AAGAACACGTTCTGAAAAAGGAAGATCATCTTCTGGAAAAGGAAGAACATCTTCTGGAAATGGAAGAACATCTTCTGGAAAAGGAAGACCATCTTCTGGAAAAGGAAGAAAATTTTCTGGAAAAGGAAGACCATCTTCTGGAAAAGGAATAACATCTTCTGGAAAAGGAAGAACATCATCTGGAAAAGGAAGAACGTTTTCTGGAAAAGGAAGAACATCTTCTGGAAAAGGAAGAACATCTTCTGGAAAAGGAAGAACATCTTCTGAAAAAGGAAGAACATCTTCTGGAAAAGGAAGAACATCTCCTGGAAAAGAAAGAATATCTTCTGGAAAATGAAGAAAATCTTCTGGAAAAGGAAGAACATCTTCTGGAAAAGGAAGAACATCTTCTGGAAAAGGAAGTACATCTTCTGGAAAAGGAAGAACATCTTCTGGAAAAGGAAGAACATCTTCTGGAAAAGGAAGATCATCTTCTGGAAAAGGAAGAACACGTTCTGGAAAAGGAAGATCATCTTCTGGAAAAGGAAGAAAACGTTCTGGAAAAGGAAGATCATCTTCTGGAAAAGGAAGAACATCTTCTGAAAAAGGAAGAACATCTTCTGGAAAGGGAAGGTCATCTTCTGGAAATGGAAGAACATCTTCTGGAAAAGGAAGATCATCTTCTGGAAAAGGAAGAACATCTTCTGGAAATGGAAGAACATCTTCTGGAAAGGGAAGATCATCTTCTGGAAATCGAAGAACATCTTCTGGAAATGGAAGAGCAGCTTCTGGAAAAGGAAGAACATCTTCTGGAAAAGGAAGAACATCTTCTGGAAAAGGAAGAAATATCATCTGGAAAAGGAAGAAAATCTTCTGCAAAAGGAAGAACATCTTCTGGAAAAGGAAGAACATTTTCTGGAAAAGGAAGAAATATCATCTGGAAAAGGAAGAAAATCTTCTGCAAAAGGAAGAAACATCTTCTGGAAAAGGAAGAACATCTTCTGGAAAAGGAAGAAATATCATCTGGAAAAGGAAGAACATTTTCTGGAAAAGGAAGAACAATTTCTGGAAATGGAAGAACATCTTCTGGAAAAGGAATATCATCTTCTGGAAAAGGAAGAACATCTTCTGGAAAAGGAAGAACATTTTCTGGAAAAGGAAGAAATATCATCTGGAAAAGGAAGAAAATCTTCTGCAAAAGGAAGAAACATCTTCTGGAAAAGGAAGAACATCTTCTGGAAAAGGAAGAAATATCATCTGGAAAAGGAAGAACATTTTCTGGAAAAGGAAGAACAATTTCTGGAAATGGAAGAACATCTTCTGGAAAAGGAATATCATCTTCTGGAAAAGGAAGAACATCTTCTGGAAAAGAAGAACATCTTCTGGAAAAGGAAGCTCATCTTCTGGAAAAGGAAGAAAATCTTCTGGAAAATGAAGAATATCTTCTGCAAAAGGAAGAACATCTTCTGGAAAAGGAAGAAATATCATCTGGAAAAGGAAGAACATTTTCTGGAAAAGGAAGAACAATTTCTGGAAATGGAAGAACATCTTCTGGAAAAGGAATATCATCTTCTGGAAAAGGAAGAACATCTTCTGGAAAAGAAGAACATCTTCTGGAAAAGGAAGCTCATCTTCTGGAAAAGGAAGAAAATCTTCTGGAAAATGAAGAATATCTTCTGCAAAAGGAAGAACATCTTCTAGAAAAGGAAGAAAATCTTCTGGAAAAGGAAGAACATCTTCTGGAAAAGGAAGAACATCTTCTGGAAAAGGAAGAAAATCTTCTGGAAAAGGAAGAAAATCTTCTGGAAAAGGAAGATCATCTTCTGGAAAAGGAAGAACATCTTCTGGAAAAGGAAGAAAATCTTCTGGAAAAGGAAGAACATCTTCTGGAAAAAAGAACATCTTCTGGAAAAGGAAGAAAATCTTCTGGAAAAGGAAGAACATCTTCTGGAAAAGGAAGAACATCTTCTGGAAAAGGAAGAACATCTTCTGGAAAAGGAAGAAAATCTTCTGGAAAAGGAAGAACATCTTCTGGAAAAGGAAGAACATCTTCTGGAAAAGGAAGGTCATCTTCTGGAAAAGGAAGAACATCTTCTGGAAAAGGAAGAACATCTTCTGGAAAAGGAAGAACATCTTCTTGAAAAGGAAGAACAACTTCTGGAAATGGAAGAAAATCTTCTGGAAAAGGAAGAACATTTTCTGGAAATGGAAGAACATCTTCTGGAAAAGGAAGATCATCTTCTGGAAAAGGAAGATCATCTTCTGGAAAAGGAAGAACATCTTCTGGAAAAGGAAGATCATCTTCTGGAAAAGGAAGAACAACTTCTGGAAATGGAAGAACATCTTCTGGAAATGGAAGAACATCTTCTGGAAAAGGAAGAACACGTTCTGGAAAAGGAAGATCATCTTCTGGAAAAGGAAGAACATCTTCTGGAAATGGAAGACAATCTTCTGGAAAAGGAAGAATATCTTCTGGAAAAGGAAGAACATCTTCTGGAAATGGAAGAACAACTTCTGGAAAAGGAAGATCATCTTCTGGAAATGGAAGAACATCTTCTGGAAAAGGAAGATCATCTTCTGGAAAAGGAAGAACATCTTCTGGAAATGGAAGAACATCTTCTGGAAAAGGAAGATCATCTTCTGGAAATCGAAGAACATCTTCTGGAAATGGAAGAACAGCTTCTGGAAAAGGAAGAACATCTTCTGGAAATGGAAGAACATCTTCTGGAAAAGGAATATCATCTTCTGGAAAAGGAAGAACATCTTCTGGAAAAGAAGAACATCTTCTGGAAAAGGAAGCTCATCTTCTGGAAAAGGAAGAACATCTTCTGGAAAAGGAAGAAAATCTTCTGAAAAAGGAAGAACATCTTCTGGAAAAGGAAGAACATCTTCTGGAAAAGGAAGAACATCTTCTGGAAAAGGAAGAACATCTTCTGGAAAAGGAAGAACATCTTCTGGAAAAAAAGAACATCTTCTGGAAAAGGAAGAAAATCTTCTGGAAAAGGAAGAACATCTTCTGGAAATGGAAGAACATCTTCTGAAAAAGGAAGAACATCTTCTGGAAAAGGAAGAACATCTTCTGGAAAGGAAGAACATCTTCTGGAAAAGGAAGAAAATATTCTGGAAAAGGAAGAACATCTTCTGGAAAAAAAGAACATCATCTGGAAAAGGAAGAAAATCTTCTGGAAAAGGAAGAACATCTTCTGGAAATGGAAGAACATCTTCTGGAAATGGAAGAACATCTTCTGGAAAAGAAAGAACACGTTCTGGAAAAGGAAGATCATCTTCTGGAAAAGGAAGAACATCTTCTGGAAATGGAAGAACAACTTCTGGAAAAGGAAGATCCTCTTCTGGAAATGGAAGAACAACTTCTGGAAAAGGAAGATCCTCTTCTGGAAATGGAAGAACATCTTCTGGAAAAGGAAGATCATCTTCTGGAAAAGGAAGAACATCTTCTGGAAAAGGAAGAACATCTTCTGGAAAAAAAGAACATCTTCTGGAAAAGGAAGAAAATCTTCTGGAAAAGGAAGAACATCTTCTGGAAATGGAAGAACATCTTCTGAAAAAGGAAGAACATCTTCTGGAAAAGGAAGAACATCTTCTGGAAAAGGAAGAACATCTTCTGGAAAAGGAAGAAAATCTTCTGGAAAAGGAAGAACATCTTCTGGAAAAAAAGAACATCATCTGGAAAAGGAAGAAAATCTTCTGGAAAAGGAAGAACATCTTCTGGAAATGGAAGAACATCTTCTGGAAATGGAAGAACATCTTCTGGAAAAGAAAGAACACGTTCTGGAAAAGGAAGATCATCTTCTGGAAAAGGAAGAACATCTTCTGGAAATGGAAGAACAACTTCTGGAAAAGGAAGATCCTCTTCTGGAAATGGAAGAACATCTTCTGGAAAAGGAAGATCATCTTCTGGAAAAGGAAGAACATCTTCTGGAAATGGAAGAACATCTTCTGGAAAAGGAAGATCATCTTCTGGAAATCGAAGAACATCTTCTGGAAATGGAAGAACAGCTTCTGGAAAAGGAAGAACATCTTCTGGAAATGGAAGAACATCTTCTGGAAAAGGAATATCATCTTCTGGAAAAGGAAGAACATCTTCTGGAAAAGAATAACATCTTCTGGAAAAGGAAGCTCATCTTCTGGAAAAGGAAGAACATCTTCTGGAAAAGGAAGAAAATCTTCTGGAAAAGGAAGAACATCTTCTGGAAAAGGAAGAACATCTTCTGGAAAAGGAAGAACATCTTCTGGAAAAAAAGAACATCTTCTGGAAAAGGAAGAACATCTTCTGGAAATGGAAGAACATCTTCTGAAAAAGGAAGAACATCTTCTGGAAAAGGAAGAACATCTTCTGGAAAAGGAAGAACATCTTCTGGAAAAGGAAGAACATCTTCTGGAAAAAAAGAACATCATCTGGAAAAGGAAGAAAATCTTCTGGAAAAGGAAGAACATCTTCTGGAAATGGAAGAACATCTTCTGGAAATGGAAGAACATCTTCTGGAAAAGAAAGAACACGTTCTGGAAAAGGAAGATCATCTTCTGGAAAAGGAAGAACATCTTCTGAAAATGGAAGAACATCTTCTGGAAAAGGAAGGTCATCTTCTGGAAATGGAAGAACATCTTCTGGAAAAGGAAGAACATCTTCTGGAAAAGGAAGAACATCTTCTGGAAAAGGAAGAAAATCTTCTGGAAAAGGAAGAACATCTTCTGGAAAAAAAAGAACATCTTCTGGAAAAGGAAGAAAATCTTCTGGAAAAGGAAGAACATCTTCTGGAAATGGAAGAACATCTTCTGGAAAAGGAAGATCATCTTTTGGAAATCGAAGAACATCTTCTGGAAATGGAAGAACAGCTTCTGGAAAAGGAAGAACATCTTCTGGAAATGGAAGATCATCTTCTGGAAAAGGAAGATCATCTTCTGGAAATGGAAGATCATCTTCTGGAAAAGGAAGAACATCTTCTGGAAATGGAAGATCATCTTCTGGAAAAGGAAGAACATCTTCTGGAAACCGGAAGTTCTCCTTCTGGATTCATGCCGGGAAAACGTCTTTCAGCTCGAGGATGAAACCCGCCAATGAAAACGACGGCGCACCCGTCACGTGGCAACGCTCGGAGCCAATGGGCGATCGCGGCGATTCTCGGGCGACAGTTGGCGACCCCGGCGGGAAAAGCGGCGGGAGCGACCGGCGGAGAGGAGGCCCCTGGGGTAGGAGAGGAGTCCCCTGGGGTAGGAGAGGAGGCCCTTGGGGTCGGCGTCCTCACGAGGAGACGCCGCCCTCACTCTGTGCATCCTTAACACGGTGATAACGCCTTTCCTTTGTCACATTCACCTGTCTGAGATGGATATTATCACTGTATCACACTACTATTATACTCCTTCTTTGGTTCTTTCGGTAAAGTCACGTAGAATGAGAATAAAATAATAAATTGATAAAATAAAATAACACAATAATATTCTCACGACGTTTCGGCCACAACACAAGCAATTCAGTAGGCTCACATGCCATTGACTTTTCCAAGACAGAGGTTCTTTGTAAGGCATCTGACTACCATGAGAGATTAGTTCATGAGGCTATCCACATATACAAGCACAGAGACAATTTCAACCGAGAAGATTGATTCTATCTTAGCAATCATTGGAAAGATTTGATAAACCATTTCAGGTCTTAATTGATTGTTCACGCTTACAGTGGCTTTCAGACAGCATACATTATAAAAAAATTAGTTTCCCCCCTCCTCTTTTCAGAATATAGATGGACTAGTCCTAAATAAACTGCCAAATCGTTGCGCGTGGCGCTAACGTTTTTTTATATAATTAAATAAGTGCGCCGTTTAAAAATAAATTTATGCAAACCAACACACCTGAAGATGACCGTTTGAGTTATGGTCGAAACGTCGTGAGAATTTTTTTATTGTTTTATATATATTTTATTATTTTGTTGTTTCCCTTCAACGTGACTTTACCGAAAAAACTAAGAATACTATTATACTGTATCACTCTGTACATCCTTAACAAGAGGACGGTGATAACGCCTTTCCTTTGTCACATTCACCTGTGTGAGATGGATATTATACTGTATCACACTACTAGTATACTGTATCACACTACTAGTATACTGTATCACACTACTATTATACTGTATCACACCACAACCATACTGTATCACTACTATTATACTGTATCACACTACTATTATACTGTATCACACTACTATTATACTGTATCACACTACTATTATACTGTATCACACTACTATGATACTGTATCACACTACTATTATACTGTATCACACCACAACCATACTGTATCACTACTATTATACTGTATCACTACTATTATACTGTATCACACTACTATTATACTGTATCACACTACTATTATACTGTATCACACTACTATTATACTGTATCACACTACTATTATACTGTATCACACTACTAGTATACGGTATCACACTACTATTATACTGTATCACCACTATTATACTGTATCACACTACTATTATACTGTATCACACTACTATTATACTGTATCACACTACTATTATACTGTATCACACTAGTATACTGTATCACACTACTAGTATACTGTATCACACCACAACCATACTGTATCACTACTATTATACTGTATCACTACTATTATACTGTATCACACTACTATTATACTGTATCACACTACTATTATACTGTATCACACTACTAGTATACTGTATCACACTACTATTATACTGTATCACACTACTATTATACTGTATCACACTACTATTATACTGTATCACACAACTATTATACTGTATCACACTACTATTATACTGTATCACACTACTATTATACTGTATCACACTACTATTATACTGTATCACACTACTATTATACAGTACCACACTACTAGTATACTGTATCACACTACTATTATACTGTATCACACCACAACCATACTGTATCACACTACTATTATACTGTATCACACTACTAGTATACTGTATCACACTACTAGTATACTGTATCACACTACTATTATATTGTATCACACTATTATACTGTATCACACTACTATTATACTGTATCACACCACTATTATACTGTATCACACCACTATTATACTGTATCACTACTATTATCACACTACTATTATACTGTATCACACTACTATTATACTGTATCACACTACTAGTATACTGTATCACACTACTATTATACTGTATCACACTATTATACTGTATCACACTACTATTATACTGTATCACACCACTATTATACTGTATCACACCACTATTATACTGTATCACACTACTATTATACTGTATCACACCACTATTATACTGTATCACACTACTATTATCACACTACTATTATACTGTATCACACTACTATTATACTGTATCACACTACTAGTATACTGTATCACACTACTATTATACTGTATCACACAACCATACTGTATCACAACTATTATACTGTATCACACTACTAGTATACTGTATCACGCTACTAGTATACTGTATCACACAACTATTATACTGTATCACACTACTATTATACTGTATCACACTACTATTATACTGTATCACACAACTATTATACTGTATCACACTACTATTATACTGTATCACACTACTATTATACTGTATCACACTACTACCATACTGTATCACCACTATTATACTGTATCACACTACTATTATACTGTATCACACTACTACCATACTGTATCACCACTATTATACTGTATCACACTACTATTATACTGTATCACACTACTATTATACTGTATCACACTACTATTATACTGTATCACACCACAACCATACTGTATCACTACTATTATACTGTATCACTACTATTATACTGTATCACACTACTATTATACTGTATCACACAACTATTATACTGTATCACACAACCATACTGTATCACAACTATTATACTGTATCACAACTATTATACTGTATCACACCACACAACCATACTGTATCACAACTATTATACTGTACCACAACCATATTGTATCACACTACAACCTTTCTGTATCACACTACTATTATACTGTATCACACCACAACCATACTGTATCACATAACTATTATACTGTATTACACTACAATTATACTGTATCACACTACTGTTATACTGTATCACACTACTATTATACTGTATCACAACTATTATACTGTATCACACAACTATTATACTGTATCACACTACTATTATACTGTATCACACTACAACCATACTGTATCACACTACAACCATACTGTATCACACCACAACCATACTGTATCACACCACAACCATACTCTATCACACCATAACCATACTGTATCACACCACAACCATACTGTATCACACTACAACCATACTGTATCACAACTATTATACTGTATCACACCACAACTATTATACTGTATCACACCACAACCATACTGTATCACAACTATTATACTGCATCAACCACAACCATACTGTATCACACAACTATTATACTGTATCACACTACTATTATACTGTATCACACTACTATTATACTGTATCACACTACTATTATACTGTATCACACTACTATTATACTGTATCACACTACTATTATACTGTATCACACTACTATTATACTGTATCACACTACTATTATACTGTATCACACTACTAGTATACTGTATCACACTACTATTATACTGTATCACACCACAACCATACTGTATCACAACTATTATACTGTATCACACCACAACTATTATACTGTATCACACCACAACCATACTGTATCACAACTATTATACTGTATCACACCACAACCATACTGTATCACACTACAACTATTATACTGTATCACACCACAACCATACTGTATCACACCACAACTATTATACTGTACCACACCACAACCATACTGTATCACACTACAACTATTATACTGTATCACACTACAACCATACTGTATCACACTACTTTTATACTGTATCACACTACTATTATACTGTATCACACAACTATTATACTGTATCACACTACTATTATACTGTATCACACTACAACCATACTGTATCACAACTATTATACTGCATCACACCACAACCATACTGTATCACACAACTATTATACTGTATCACACTACTAATATACTGTATCACACAACTATTATACTGTATCACACTACTATTATACTGTATCACACTACTATTATACTGTATCACACTACTATTATACTGTATCACACTACAACCATACTGTATCACAACTATTATACTGCATCACACCACAACCATACTGTATCACACAACTATTATACTGTATCACAACTATTATACTACATCACACCACAACCATACTGTATCACACAACTATTATACTGTATCACAACTATTATACTGCATCACACCACAACCATACTGTATCACAACTATTATACTGTATCACACAACTATTATACTGTATCACACTACAACCATACTGTATCACACAACTATTATACTGTATCACACTACAACCATACTGTATCACACTACAACCATACTGTATCACAACTGTTATACTGTCACACAACGATTCTACTGTATCGCAATGATTATACTGTATCACACTGCACGCGTATACTGTATCACACTGTACGCTTATACTGTCACATTACGTTTATAGCGTATCAAACTATACGTTTGTACTGTTGCACATTGTACGCTTATACTGTATTACAATATACGCTTATACTGTATCACTTGATGCTTATGCTGTATCCCTCACTGGGGAGACAAAGGCGACCGTGCGGGTGTGGTGCTGGCCACCCACACTCCTCGTGTGTTGACACAGTGCCGGCCTTAGTAGGTGCTACTCGCTAACAGCACTTGCCCCAACAGTCTTTTAAGGTTATACGGGGGATCTTTGTCTCTGATGGTGTTTCTGGGTATTACACTGTACGCGTATATTGTATTGCTTCCTGGGGAGACAAAGGCGCCTGGCCGTGGTGCCGGCCACTCACCCCCTCATGTGCCACAGTGGCCGGCCTTCATAGGTGCTGCTCGCGAAGAGCACTTGCCCCAACGTTCTGTTGAAACTATTTCTGGGCGATCTTTGTCTTTGGTGTAGTTTCTGGCGGTTCCTGCCAAGCCCAACAGCTGCAGGATGATGGCTTCAGACGAGGGCAGTGCCCGACTGCGCTGCCGTCACCGGACCAGGTCGGGCTCCGCCGTCTCGTCAGCCCCGCTCGCCTCGCTCGCCGCTCCCCACGCGGCCAAAATGTCGACGGCGCGGCTCCGTGACGAGGCCGGCGAGCCGACGGGCAGGAGGCATCACCGGCCCGACGCGGCTCCGTCACGCAAACACCACGACAACGATGATGACCACGCCGCCTCCGTCTCGCGACGGCCGCCCGACGTCGTCATCGGCAACGCTCGCAAGAGACGAGCGCTTGCCAGCGAAGACGAGTCTGCTGGCAGCTCCGGTTGGCCGCCGTCACTGGCCGCGGCGAGAGGCGCCGCCCGCGGTGTTGACGATGACGACTCCGACGGCGAGTGTTCTCTGCTCTCTCGCTTGTTGGCCAAAGGTGGAAAAACCGGCGTGGGCAAATTAAACGGCAAAACACGCAGGGACAGTGCCATCGAAGACGTCCTTTGCTTCCTCCCCGTCAGTAAAAGCGACGCTCGCAGAGACAGAGACGGTGCGGGCAGCGGCGGCGGCGTTGTAAGGGAGTGCGCCCGGCGTTCCCGCCAATCAGCGGAGTGGCACAGCCCCGACGCTGCAGGGACAGTCGCTTCCGGCATAGGCGGTGGTGGTGGTGGTGCCGTTGCCGCCGCCGCCGCTCCTGCCGCTATTCCCGCTGGGCACTTCGGAGCTCAGAAATTGGACGGTGACGATGCGCGACGTATTCGCCACAGTCGCAAGGGACGGCTAGCAAACGGCAGGCGGAGTGCCGACGGCATCTATAAGAACAGCAGCGGCGGTGGCAGCGGCACCAACAGCAGCACCAACATGGACAGCAGCAGGAATAGCACCAATATCGACAGCAGCAGCACCAACATCGATAGCAGCAGCACCAACATCGATAGCAGCAGCACCAACATCGACAGCAGCAGCACCAACATTGACAGCAGTGATGATCACGGCTCTGTCGCCGATGTGCCACCGCCGCTGTGGTCCGGTGAGCGGCCGAGCGCGGCCCGTGTTGGTACCGTCGCCGCGGAGGCAGAGGGGGACAGCGATCCCGTCCCCGGTGGCTCTCTCGGCATTTGCCATGGCGTGAGCGGCGACAGTGGTGGAGCCGACGACGACGACGGTGGAGACGACGACGGTGCCGCCGGTGTTGGGTTGATGGACGCCGCGTTTGTGGAGACCTCCGGGCGCTTCTCCGACTCCAGCCCCTCCACCGTCCCGGCAACGCCGGAGCTGGCGCGCAGGCGGCGGCGCGGTGGACTCTTCCTGCACCGGCGCTGCCGCCGCGTGAGTGTCACGCGTAGCCCCAACTTCGTGCCAGTCACGCCGAGGTGCGTCTGTGTGTACGTTTTTGTGTACGTCTGTGTGTGGGTGTGTGTACGTCTGGATGTATGTCTCTCTGTATGTCTGTGTGTGGGTGTGTGTACGTCTAAGTGTATGTCTGTGTTTACGTCTGTGGGTGTGTGTGTACGTCTATGTGTACGTCTTTGTACGTTGTGTGTGTGTGTAATGCTGTGTGGAAGCTACCCCCGGTCTTCTTGGCCACGGTCATGTTCTCCCTTCTGTATGCTTGTCAAACATGGACCCATCTAATGGAACATCTGCGCCGGTTAGAAACATTCAGGCTCGCTTGCCTAAGATCCGCCCTGGGTTTGACCTGCAGGCTGGATTGTGTGAGTAGCTCACAAATCACTGTCCCATCGGTGAGCTCCTCTGGCAGACAAGGCCGCGTTGGATGGGTCATGTAGCCCGCATACCCAGCCACCACATGCCCAAGCGGCTTCTTTTTGGCCGAATAGAGGGGGCTACACGGGCATGACCCGGCAGGAGAGGAGATGGACCGATGCGGTACGGGAGGATGTGCGGCTGAGTGGACTTTTCGAAACATCACATGGCCTTAAAGTACACCTGGCTTGGCACAGGCGCTGTGGTGACGTCGCCGTCACTTTGTGGCAAATGCCGGGTATTGGCATTGGTACGTTGATCTTCTTTCAGCACCACTGTACATAGCCAAATGCGCTAATCGGAGGTGTGGGGGGTGGGACAGACGACAAACTAAAACAACAATAAGAAATTAGTTTTCAATCTAGATGATTTAAATGTGCGGCATAGCTCCTGGTGGATTCCTAAAGGAACAGCGAATTGGTGGGTGGGTGAGTGAATGAGTGGGTGAGCGAAATGGTAAGTGAGATGATTGTTAAGTGAATGAGTGGGCGAGTGAGATGGTGGGTGACTGGGTAAATGATTGAAATGTACGTATATGTTGAATTTCTTTCGCATCGTACGTAGCCAACCATGCTAATCGGAGGTGCGGGGGAAGAATAACAAACTAAACGCAACAAAAACTGTTTTAAAGAAATTAGTTAATCAATCTAGACGATGATTAAATTGAAGACATCTCACTATCTCCAGGTGATTTGCTTGTCAGTTTCGATCTTTGTTTACCAAAGTTCCTGTGCCTAACACCATTGCAATTGTAGCGGGTCCAACTGAGTCGCAGACGTCGTTCCTTTTTAGAGGCAACACATTTATTTACAACACCTTAACACAAAGGAGTAACTGTCCCTTTACCAGATACAACCTAGGGTGGTGACCACCCAGCTAACTACACTATACAGAGGAGTTATTGCTACGAAGGGTCAGACCCTCACTCGGGTCTCTGACCACGTGGTTCCTCATAGGACGCAGAGCTTCCCGCTTGCAGAACGAAGAGACCCCGGTCCCTCTCAGGGACCCGCCTATATCCCTCTCCGGTCGGGGCCGCTCCGCCCTCGGCCCTGCCCGCCTTCTTGAACATTCTCGTTCCCTCTCCAACCTTCTCAAGAGCTCTCCCCGGACACGTGATCACCCACTCGTCCCCCCACCTGGGGCCCCCTGTGTGGACAGTCCCGATCACGTGTCTTCGGGGTCAACCAGAGTGCCATGGCACGGGGCAACCCTGCCCCTGGGCTCACACTCACCCCCTCCCCCTCGGGGGAGCCCCCACCACACGTTGTGCGTGGTGCCCGCACTATCCCAGTGCTCGCCAAGCCCCGCTAGGGCTGGTATTACACACAGCCACCCACACGGTGCTGTCCACGATGTAGGAACATTGAATGGCACGACCCTTCCGGGCCGGCACCATACAGTGACATCCCCGATGTCACTACACAATCATTGAAGGTTTGGTTCTACAAGGACTGTATGCTGATGTACCGGCCCTGGTTAGACACTGCTTCACCAACACTTACTTCATCTGGAATGGGACATTGTACAAACAAGTTGAAGGTACCCCAATCGGTTCTCCCTAATCTTCAGTTGTAGCCAATGTTTTCATGGAAAATTTTGAGACAGATGCCATCCAGGCATCTACCCTACATCTTTCCTTGTGGTAGAGATACGGAGATGATACGTTCATGATCTGGCCACATGGCCCAACAGCTCTGGACCAATTCTTCAACCACATCAATTCCATACACCCAGCCATAAAATTCACCATGGAGGTGGAAAAGGATGGCAAGTTACCATTCTTGGATGTTTGTATCGCAAAGAGACCTAATGGCTCAATGGGACACTGTCTACAGGAAATCCGCCCATACGGATGCCTACCTAAAACCTGACTCCCATCACCATCCATCCCAGAAGAATTCTCTCATCAAAACTCTACACCATAGAGCTCACCACCAGCCAGTGAACTAGAGCACGTACACCAAGCCCTCAAGAAGAATGGGTATTCAGACTACACAATCTATAAAGCTATCACCCCAACTGTTGGGAAAGAACCATCTGAGGACCCAATCAAAACCATCACCTTGCCATACATAGAAGAGGTCACCAAAAAGATTTCCAAAATCATGAGCAAACACAAGATCCAGGTACGATTCAACACAGTGCATAAAATTCGTGATTTGATCCCATCTGTGAAGGATGTGGTCCCTGACATGCAATACCCTGGTGTCTACAAACTAAGCTGTGTCTGCGGCAGCTGTTACATTGGGGAAACTAAGCGACATGTCTCGGACCGGGTTCGTGAACATAAGGCAAATCTGAAACACGGCAGGACTAATACCTCAGCCATGGCTGATCATTATTTTAACGCTGTGGGCACACGAAATTGATTTTGCCAAGACGAGGGTACTCTGCAAGCCCACTGGCTATCAGCAAAGATTCGTTCATGAAGCCATCCAGATATATAAACACAGACACAATTTCCACCGAGAAGATGGGTACAAACTGAGCAATCATTGGAAGGACGTTATTCACCAGTTTAGGTCATAGCTGGCTGTGATGTTCCCTTCATACCTACCTATGTTAGCAGTTATTTTCCATTCTGAGTTACATTCACTAACACAGCCACCGTTAGCTGTATTAGTAAATGGTGGCTTGCCATCCTTTTCCACCTCCATGTGGTGAGCTCTCCCCGAGCTTACATTTACAAGCACATTTCTTACATTGGCATGCTTATTGCTTACATTGACATGCTAATTGCTTACATTGACATGCTAATCTCTCACAATACAATGGCCACCCCCACAGCTTCGTTTGTCAAGATTTACCCGATCTTACATTTACATGGAAATTTAATCTCTAGCCCCTCCCACTGACCCTTGGGCTACACCCATCCCAAACCTTTATAACTCCTTACCTTAGCAGCGCTCCCACCATATATTCTCAGCAGCTCTCCCGCGATATTTCTCACCTGATGACGATTGCTTGTGTTGCGATCAAAACGTCATTAGATTGTTTTTATTTGTGTTATTTTTTTATAATTTGATGTATCTACGTGGCTTTACTGAAAGACCCAAATAATATAATAGACGATTTAAAGAGCGTTCCAGACGGCCGCAGAAGCAGCGCATCTGAAAGTGCCACGCTATGATGATGCGGTGACCACCGTCTTTGTTTGACGGCTAGTATAGTGTAGCGTATAGTAATATGTAGCGTAGTGTATAGGAGTGTGTAGTGTAGTCTGTAGTGTAGTGTTTAAGAATGTATAGTGTATAGAGCACGTAAAAGCGCCGCGCGATGATGTGGCGACCCACCTTCTTTGTGGTTAGCCTCAAAAGCGACTGCTGCTGCGAGGATGGTGACTGGAAAAGTGATGTGGTGAGAGAAGGGGGGGGGTGGCGGGGGGAGGTAAGAGATGAAGTGAGAAGGGAGAGAGGTGAGATATGAGGTGAGGTGAGAAGGGAGAGAGGTGATAGATGAGTGAGGTGTGACAGGGGAGGGAAAGAAAGTGAGAGGTGAAATCGGAGATTGGAGAGCAGAGCTGGTGAGATGAGGGGGCAGAGCTGGTGAGGTGAGGGGCCAGAGCTGGTGATAGAGAAGAAAGGAAGAGGAGGAATGAGGTGAGGGAGGTGAGAGATGCCATTGACGAGGTGAAATTCAACAGGTGAGGTGTGAGGTGAGCCGAAAAACAGGGCGTAGGTGAGTGACAACGATTGCGAGTCTCGGTGCCGGCGAGTGTCACTGTTGGTGAGCGTCAGTGTGGGTGAGTGTCACAGTTGGTGAGCGCCAGTGTGGGTGAACGTGTTGGTGAGTGTCACTTTTGGTGCGTGTCACTGTTGGTGAGCGTCAGTGTAGGTTAGCGTGTTGGTGAGTGTCAATGTTAGTAAGTGTCAGTATGGGTGAGTGTCGCTGTTGGTGAGCGTCAGTGTGGGTGAGCGTGTTGGTGAGTCAGTGTTGGTGAGCGTGTTGGTGAGTGTCGGTGAGCGTATTGGTGAGTGTTGTCACCATGGTTACTACCCACAGCCCCATCCTTGCCAGCAGAAAGAGGCGGCAGCCGCTGCCAGAGCTCAGCTCGGAGCCACCGGCGTGCTCAGAGGTGAGTGTGTCAGTCGGTGTGTGTGTCAGTGTCCTGGTCCAGGCCTATGATACCATCAGTAGGCCTGGGCTCTGGGTAGTTTTTCGTGCTTTCGGAGTCCCTGACCCTCTCCTCACGATCATTAAGGACCTTCGTGATGGTGAGCGGGCCCGGGTAAAACTACGTGGCTGGGAGTCAGAGCCATTCCCTGTACACCTTGGGGTGTTACAGGGATGTCCTCTGGCTCTTACATTATTTAACATCTATTTCGACTACGTAGTTCGTGAAGCCTTCAATAGCTGTACCAGGGGAATCTTCCATATGGTACAGATACAATGGGTGGCTGATCGATGCCCGGGTGCGGTCAAGGGATGGCTCCCTATTGCTCAACCATGTTATGTATGCCGATGATCTGGTAATCGCTGCTCACTCAGAGGAGGAGTTGTAGGCGCTGCTGCTGAACTGGAGCTTGCCACTAAGCGGTGCGGCATTACCATCAGCCCCACCAAAACTAAGCACCTGCCTGGGCATTTTGTACCATCGGACACTCGACCCCCAAAACTCCCAATTGGTGAAAGGGCAGTTGTGGAGAGTTCCCATACTTGGGCAGTGTCCTCATGGCCGGCTCCGGTTTAACAGCAGAGGTCTCACTCCGAATCAGTCGAGCGGCATTATCTTTTCATCGGTTGCGTAACGCTGTGTGGAAGCTACCTGGTCTGTCGCTCTGCACGAAGCTTCAGGTCTTCTCGGCCACGGTCATTCCCTCCCTTCTCTACGCTTGCGAAACATGGACCCCCCTAATGGAACATCTACGCCGGTTAGAAACATTTAGGCTGGCCTGCCTACGATCCATCCTGGGTTTAACCAGGCTGGATTGTATGAGGAGCTCACAAATCCTTCAAAGATCTGGACAAAGTCCCATCGGTGAGCTCCTCCGGCAGGCAAGGCTGCGTTGGCTGGGTCATGTAGCCCCGCCCAGCCACCACATGCCGAAACAGCTTTTGTTCGGCCGGATCGAGGGGGCTAAACGGGCGCGGCACGGGCTAGAGAAGAGATGGAGTGATGTGGTACAGGAGGATGTGGAGCTGAGTGGACTTGCCAATGACTTGTACCAGCGGTGTCAAGATCGGCCTCTGTGGAGGAGGCTCGTGAATGACGCTGCTGAGCAGTTGGAGGCAGTCGCTCTCCAACAACAACGGAGGGCAGAGGAGCGACGCTCACTACAAGGAGCGGAGCGCCGGGTGGTTAAAGCACAGCAAGTTGGCACAGTAGAAGGCACAGGCAGTGCATCAGCCACTCGTCTCAGTCAGTCGACTCGTGGCACCTGGGTCTGCCCCGTGACCTGTCAGCGGGCGTTCGACACTTCACGTGGCCTCAAGGTGCACATAGCCTGGCACAAGCCTCGTGGTGGTGTCACTGCCATTTAGTGACGAATGGCGGTTGTTGTGTGTGGGGAGCGGTCATGTAGCATTTAGCACGCTGCGCTACGAACCTGGCGATCCGAATTCAATTCCCGCTCACGGCCAACACCAGTGACGATTATCTGAACCGGTCCTGGGCCTCCCACCCCCTCGTGTGCCGTGCCGGCCTTCATAGTTGCTCGCTAATAGCCCCTTCCCCCAACAGTCTGTTAAGCCTATATGGGGGATATTTGTCTTTGTGTGTGTCCTATCCATACTTCTGTCCATCCGCGTATACCCAACAAAGATGAGGAGTAGTGTAGCGGTCAGTGCTACTCCCTGCTACGAACCCGGAGGCCCGAGTTCGATTTCCGCTCTCGGCCATCACCAGTGGCGATTATTATCGCTGTTGGTGAACGTCAGTGGTGGTGAGCGTGTTGGTGGTGAGTGTCACTATTGGTGAGCGTCAGTGGTGGTGCGTGTGCATGTTGGCGAGTGTTATAATCACCACTGGTGATGGGAGCCCCAGAACTCATTCTCTGAACGATTTCTGGGGCTCCCCTAGGTCTACTCGGCTTCAAATGAGTACCCGTGTGGCATTGTTGTTCTGACCGCCCCCCCACCCACCCCACCCGCCCCACCACACCCACTCCACCTCATTTACCCCACGTCAACCACCCCACCCCCACCCCACACCCACCCCTACTACGGGCATGCGCGTGGCCACAGTCTCCCATGAGCCACCAGCACCCCCCCACGACCCAGGCGAGGAGACGGCTCGGGCTGCGGTGTTCTCCCGGTCGCGACGTCTGCCCGAGAGGACTCGCCGGTGAGACCCCCCCCACTTGTCCACCCGTTCTGCCTAGCACTGGCAGCAGTAGTAATCCTACTGGCATCAGCACTAGCAGCAGCGGTGATCCTACTGGCAATCAGCACTGGCAGTAGTAGTAATCTTACTGGCATCAGCACTAGCAGCGGCAGTGATCCTACTGGCAATCAGCACTGGCAGTAGTAGTAATCTTACTGGCATCGGCACTAGCAGCAGCGGTAGTGATCTTACTGGCATCAATACTTGCAGCAGCAGTAGTAATCTTAATGGCATCAATAAGCGGTAGTGATCTTACTGGCATCAATACTTAGCAGCAGTAGTAAATCCTACTGGCAGCAGCACTGGCAGCAGCATCGGTAGTGATCTTACTGACATAAATACTTGCAGTCGTGATCTTACTGGCATCAATATTACCAGCAGTGGTAGTAATCTTACTGGCATCAATACTTGCAGTAGTAATCTTACTGGCATCAGCACTGGTAGCAGCAGCGGTAGTAATCTTACTGGCATCAATACTTGCAGTAGTAATCTTACTGGCATCAGCACTGGTAGCAACAGCGGTAGTAATCTAACTGGCATCAATAATTGCAGCAGCGGTAGTAAATCCTACTGGCATCAGCACTGGCAGCAGCGGTAGTAATCTTACTGGCATCAATATTACCAGCAGCGGTAGTGATCTTACTGGGATCAATACTTGCAGCAGCAGTAGTAATCTAACTGGCATCAATACTTGCAGTAGTAATCTTACTGGCATCAGCACTGGTAGCAGCAGTGGTAGTAATCTTACTGGCATCAATACTTGCAGTAGTAATCTTACTGGCATCAGCACTGGTAGCAGCAGTGGTAGTAATCTAACTGGCATCAATACTTGCAGTAGTAATCTTACTGGCATCAGGACTAGCAGCAGTGGTAGTAATCTTATTGGCATCAATACTAGCTGCAGCAGTAGTAATCTTACTAGCATCAATACTAACAGCAGTGGTAGTAATCTTACTGGCATCAACACTAGCAGCAGTGGTAGTAATCTTACTGGCATCAATACCAGCTGCAGTGGTAGTAATCTTACTGGCATCAATACTAGCTGCAGCAGTAGTAATCTTACTAGCATCACTACTAACAGCAGTGGTAGTAATCTTACTGGCATCAACACTAGCAGCAGTGGTAGTAATCTTAATGGCCTCAATACTAGCAGCAGTGGTAGTAATCTTATTGGCATCAATACTAGCTGCCGTGGTAGTAATCTTACTGGCATCAATACCAGCTGCAGTGGTAGTAATCTTACTGGCATCAATACTAGCTGCAGCGGCAGTGATCTTACTGGCATCAATACTAACAGCAGTGGTAGTAATCTTACTGGCATCAATACTAGCATCAGTGGTAGTAATCTTACTGGCATCAATACTAACAGCAGTGGTAGTAATCTTACTGGCATCAATACTAGCAGCAGCAGTAGTGATCTTACTGGCATCAATACTAGCAGCAGTGGTAGTAACCTTATTGGCATCAGCATTGGCAGCAGCGGTAAAATAGCTTCAGAGCTCACAGGAGATGTTAACTCCCTCGCCTGGTACGCAGAAGGTCACGGATTCGGTCCCGACCCTGACGCCTGCTGTATATTTCTGCGTCTCTCCATCTCCCAGTGGTCGCGTGGATTTTTCTCTGGGTCCCCTCCGGTTTTCCCTCCACATGTTTTTTGAATCAACATCACGTGCTTTTGGCCGCTATGAATTTCCACGCTATAAGACACTTGAATGGGCTTTCTCATTTACCGCCAGGTCGCTTCTGAACAAGAGCTACATAGCTCAGTGGGCCTTTTCTGGTGAAATAAAAATAGTTTTAAATCGCAACAGTACTAGCATCAGCACGAGCAGTACAAAGCAGCAGAACTAGCGTCAGCAGCAGAAAGCGGTGCTAGCAACAGTATGAGCACCGCTATCATCAGCATCACCAGCAACACCACTACAACCACCACCAAATGCCATCATCATCACAGCCACCACCATTGCCACTACAATTACTACCACCGACACCACAACCGCCATCAGCACCACCAATACCAACACCCGCCGTTCACCACAAAGTGTCGGTGACTGTCACCACAGCGCCTGTGCTAGGCCAGGCGGACTTTAAGGCCACGTGAAGTGTCAAACGCCCACTGGGTTGGCTGAGATGACCGGTAGATGCACACCAGCTGTACCCGCTACTGTGCCAACTTGCTGTGCTTTAGCCACCCGGTGCTCTGCTCGTTGTGAGCGTTCATAATAAAGGTTTTTGGGTTAGATCGCGTTATTTATAAATGTGTCGTAACCCTCCACCACCCGACACGGCCAAACAGTAAAAAAAGTGTCACGTTTACAAAGGACAAATAGTTCACTACTTTAGCCCACCGGTGTGTTGAAGAGTGAATCCACAACATTTACAGTTTGAGTACGACATTTCGCTGGTAATTACATCCAGCTTCATCGGGCAATTCGCCAGAATGGTAAAGCCCTCGCTTGCTCCCGGTCTTAAATAGAGCAGCAGGGTGACGTCATCATTGAACTCATTTCAGGTGCAGCGATTTGAGGCGGAGGGGGTTGGGTTTGTAATTATATAATCGATTGGTAATCAGTCAATGGTTATGATTAGCAACGAGTTGTTGATTAGTAATCAGTTGTAATGTGTGTTATTGTGATTATATGCTACGTTAGTATTCCGTTAATCCGTTGTGGGCATTGCTCCTCTGCCCTCCGTTGTTGCTGGATGGCGACTGCCTCAAACTGCCCAGCAGCAGCGTCCTTCACGAGCCTCCTCCACACCACCACCACGACCACCGCCACCACTATCACCAGCAGCGTTACCACCACAAGCACCACCGCTACCACCACCACCGCTACCACCACCACTGTTACCACGCGTTATGAGGCTCCGTCCCCGACGGTGCTGTCTCACCTGAGGTCTTGCACCGGTGCAGGTGGCGTGAGCCGGGCTCCGCCGCCCTCACCACCGTCACCGCGGTGCCGCCGGCCCCGCCACTCCTTCGGCGACGCTGCGCCAGGTCCCAGCAGCACCGGTGAGAGGCCGCGACCGGCCGACTGAGACCATTGGCACGGCGAACGTCCGGTCAAACCATTGGAATACCGCCAGCGAAAACACTTGAGGGAGTACCGCTCAAATAAAATTATAAACTAACACCAGTTTATATGTGACCAGGTGTAAGGCCCCCCTGAGCTGTGTAGCGCTCTCTCTGAAATGACCCTGGGTATATCACAGATGATAGTTTAACGAAGAGGCTTAATCATCATGTGGCAATGTATAGAATCCAAATACTAAAACTCAACTTTTTATTTTACCAGGTGTAAGGCTCCACTGAGCTGATGACAATGACGACAACGATGATGACGATGATGATGACGACGACGATGATGATGATGATGACGACGATAATGACGACGATAATAACGACTACGATGATGACAATAATGATGACGACGGTGATGATGACGACGATGATGATGCTGACGACGATGATGATGATGACGACGGTAATGACGACGATAATGACGACTACGATGACAACGACAATAATGATGACGACGGTGATGATGACGACGACGATGATGCTGACGACGATGGCCGTGGTTGTGGTGAGAACAAGGGGTGACGGTGGGCTCTGCGTTGTTCCCGCGCTTGCAGGGGAATGGGTTCGGATCCCACCCAACTTCATAGTGATCAACAGCGACGACGACGATGAGGTCGGCGGGGACGCCGCCTTGGCGCAGCAGCAGCAGCAGGTGGACGAGGACGAGGCGCTGGCTCGGGCGCTGCAGGTGAGCGCAGCGGAGGGCAGTGTTGGGGTAGCCGTACGCACACACACGTACGTACGCACACACATACGTACGCACACACGTACGTACGCACACACACGTACGTACGCACACACATACGTACGCGCACACGTACGTACGCACACACACGTACGTACGCACACACACGCACGTACGCGCACACGTACGTACGCACACACACGTACGTACGCACACACACGTACGTACGCGCACACACGTACGTACGCACACACACGTACGTACGCGCACACACGTACGTACGCGCACACACGTACGTACGCACACACGTACGCACACACACGTACGTACGCACACACACGTACGTACGCACGCACACGTACACACACACATGTACGTACGTACGCACACACGTACGTACGCACACACGTACGTACGCACACATACGTGCGTACGCGCACACACGTACGTACGCGCACACACGTACGTACGCGCACACACGTACGCACACACACGTACGTACGCACACACACGTACGTACGCACGCACACGTACACACACACATGTACGTACGCACACACGTACGTACGCACACACGTACGTACGCACACGCATGCATGCACGCACACGTACACACACACACACGTACGCACGCACGCATGCACGTACATGCATGCAGACGCACGCACGCAGACACACGCATGCGCACACACACACGTGTCGGGGTCTGGATCACAAACAAACGACCTCCTGCATGTCAGGCGAGGTAGTCAACATCTCCTGGCCACAAACCGCTGCCCGCATGCCACGGAAGCCCGCTGGTCAACGTCGTTCAGAGACGTTTACCTCGACGCCACGCTCCCGAAGCCGTCGATATGCTCGCTCGCTCGCTCGCCAGCCTCTCCCCGCACGGACGCCCGAACGTCGTACGCAAGCAGAGAGGGGGGTTGTCTCTACTCCGTCGGGCGTCCAGCAAGTAACCGCCCCGCCGCCTTGCGTAGATCCAGTTTGACGAGGAGGAAGCGGAGAGGCTGGCGGGGCCCGGAGGTCACGGCGACGGTGGCGGGCACATGGAAGAGTTTTGGCACCGCCCCTTGACTCGCTCCTCGAATCACCAAGAAGAGGTGAGGGTCACGATGTACAGGAGTCGATCATCGATTATCCAGGGGCGAGAGGGGCACCGAATTTTCAAAAACGCCAGATAATGGCTCGATCATTATTCTATGGCTCTTTCGGTAAAGTCACGTAGATCGCAACGCACACGCTTGTGTGTTGCGATCGAAACATCGTGATATTTTTTTATTCACTTTATCTTTATTATTTTATTGTTATTTATTTTCTTCTATATACGTGACTTTACTCAGAGAACCATAGAATATGAATTCCTGCAATCACGAAATTTTTAAGTCAAAATTAAATAATTGTTATTTAGCTTTTGTTTTCGCATTCTTGCATGACATGTTTGTAGGTGTTGCGTATATGGGTTTTTTTGTGTTTTAAATGTGTTTACTGTCTGAAATTGCCATAAAAAACATAGAAATAGACACAAATATCCTACTGTGCCATACTTGCCACGCTAATCTCGAAGACTCTGCATCTTGGGGTTACGTACGTAGCACTCCTCTGCTCTTGTTTCAACAACCACGATGTGTTTGGCGATCGCACAGCCTTCAGAGCGGTTTTGCCGGTTACGCCCCATCGGCCCGGGAAGCAGCCGGAATAATCGCGCGGTGCCGTATAATCAGTGACTGACTGTGCGTGTTGAACTACTTTCGCACCGTGCGTCGCCGACATTGGCCAACGTCCATCCAACGTTGTTGGTCCAACGGTGCCAATCACGTGCCAACGCCGAGCTAATGTTAGCACGCTTACCGAGTAGCCACCCCGCAGCATGTGATGGCGATGGTGTGATAGTTTGTGCTGACGGTACACCTGACGATACAAGATACCGACGATGTACGTGTGTGTGTTGAACTTCTTTCGCTCCCTGCGTAGCTGGTCGTGCTAATCTGATTGAAGGTGCCAGGAGGAAGGACAACAAAGTAAACACAACAACAGGAAGCAGTTCTAAAGAAATTTGTTTTCAATTTTGTATAGTGGTTTAGTGCAGTGTATAGTGTAGTGTATAGCAGTGTAGTATATAGTCGTGTAGTGTATAGCGGAGTGTATTGTAGTGTATGTACGTTCAACTTCTTCTGCACCGTACGTAGACAATCGTGCTAATCTGTGGATCTCTGTGTGTCTGGGTCTCTGTATGTGTGTGTGTTGAACTTCTTTCGCACCGTACGTAGCCGGCCGTGCTGATCGGAGGTGCGATTGCGGTGTCACCGGATTGAAGAGATTGTAGACCAAACTAAACATGTCACGTAAAAACAATTACATAACACATTTAAAGTGATGCACATAGGAGTATAGTGCTTCCATGGCAGTCTTGGTTGTAAAATGGCTTTTGGGTTTACAGTGCAATTAATCTTGCGAGTAGTTGTTAGATATTCTTGGTTCTTTCGGTAAAGTCACGTTGAAGGGAAACAATAAAATAATAAAATATATAGAAAACAATAAAAAATTCTCACGACGTTTCGACTGTAACAAAGTCATCATCAGGTGTGGAAAAAAACCAACGGCAAGAAGCATTTGAAAGAAGTGGCGGTTTGTGTTTATTCATATATATTCAAACGTTGTTTGCATTTATTTATTTTTAAGCTGTGTATTTATTTATTTATAATTTAAAAAACGTTGCCACCATGGATAGCGATTTGACAGTTTGTTTAGAAGGACGAGTCCATCTATGTTCGGAAAAGAGGAGGGGGGAGACGAAAATTTAATGTATGCTGTCTGAAAGCCACCGTAAGCGTGAACAATCAATTAAGACCCGAAATGGTTTATCAAATCCTTCCAATGATTGCTAAGCCAGAATCCATCTTCTCTGTTGAAATTGTCTCTGTGTTTGTATATGTGGATAGCCTCATGAACGAATCTCTCATGGTAGCCAGATGGCTTGCAAATAACCTCCGTCTTGGAGAATTCAATGTCATGTGAGCCCACTGAATTATAACAGTGATCTGCCACGGCCGAGGTGTTGGTCCTACCGTGTTTAAGGTCTGCTTTGTGTTCACGAATGCAGTCCGAGACATGTCGTTTGGTTTCTCCAATGTAACTACTACCACAGAGGCAACTTAGTTTGTAGACACCAGGGTACTGTATGTCCGGAATCACATCTTTTACAGACGGAACCAGAACACAAAGCAGACCTTAAACACGGTAGGACCAACACCTCGGCCGTGGCAGATCACTGTTTTAATTCAGTAGGCTCACATGACATTGACTTTTCCAAGACAGAGGTTCTTTGTAAGCCATCTGGCTACCATGAGAGATTCGTTCATGAGGCTATCCACATATACAAACACAGCGACAATTTCAACTGAGAAGATGGATTCTGGCTTAGCAATCATTGGAAGGATTTGATAAACCATTTCGGGTCTTATTTGATTGTTCACTCTTACGGTGGCTTTCAAACAGCATACATTAAATTTTCGTCTCCCCCCTCCTCTTTTCCGAACATAGATGGACTCGTCCTTCTAAACAAACTGCCAAATCGCTATCCGTGGTGCCAACGTTTTAAAAAATAAGTAAATAAAAGCAAACATCGTTTGAAAAATAAATAAATAAAACGGAAACGTTTGGAAATAAATTAATAAATACAAACCGTCACTTCTTTTAAATGCTTCTTGTCGTTGTTTTTTTTTCACACCTGATGATGACTGTGTTACAGTCGAAACGTCGTGAGAATTTTTTTTATTGTTTTATATATATTTTATTATTTTATTGTTTCCCTTCAACGTGACTTTACCGAAAGAACCAAGAATATGAATCACTGCAGTCACGAAAGCTTTAAATCAAAATTTAGTTGTTAGATGTTTTGGGGCAAATCCAGACTGATCGAACCCACGACCTCCTGCATATCAGGTGAGGTAGTCAACATCTGCCTGGCCACCGCGCTCACCCCAATCTCACCGTCTCCCCTCCACCGCCCTCCCCAGCTGCCGCGCAGCCAACGCAGGAGGAGGAACCCGTCGCAGCACCAGCACAGGGACATTGACCCGGGTGAGTTCTCCCTCCCCGTGGTGTCCCCGTGGTGTCCCCGCGGCCCCGACTCAAAGTTCACTCCCCCCTCGGTGAGGAGAGCCCCCGTGCATCTCCCGCAGGTATCTCCGGTTGCTGTCTCTGCTGACCTACGGTGTGCCTCATGTGTCTCTGTTCTCCCCTCGTGTCTCCGCATCCTGCCCTCGTGTCTCCGCATCCTCCCCTCGTGTCTCCGCATCCTCCCCTCGTGTCTCCGCATCCTCCCCTCGTGTCTCCGCATCCTGCCCTCGTGTCTCCGTGTTGTACGCACGCACGATGAACTTCCCACACGTCGTGCGTAACTGACCGTGCTCACCGGAGGCATTGTCCCCCACCCCCCCACGCCCTCTTCAGGGTGGACGTACTGCGGCATCCCCCCCAATCTTCTGCGCGCCATCGCCATGACCTCGATGCACACGCTGCAGCAGAGCCCCAGCAACAATGGCGATGACTACGAGGTGAAGACCGTGCCCGCGTGTGTGTTGGCATAGTAGGGGGCACAGGTGGTACATCGGCCAGTTATCTCATTCAGTCGACCCATGGCACCTGAGTCTGTCCCATGACCTCCTGCCAGCGGGCATTCAACACTTCACGTGGCCTTAACGTGTACATAGCTTGGCGCAAGCGACGTGGTGACATCACTGCCACTTAGTGGTGAGTGGCGGTTGTGTTGTGAGTATTGTGAGCCGTGAGTATTGTGAGCCGTGACTATTGTGAGCTGTGAGTGTGTGAGCTGTGAGTGTGTGAGTGTGTGAGCCGTGAGTGTGTAAAGCTGTGAGTGTGTGTGTATATGTGTGTGGGGAGCGGTAGTGTAGCAGTTAGCACACTGCGCTATGAACCTGGCGACCTGGGTTCGATTCTTGCTCACAGCCAACACCAGTGACGATTATCTGAACCGGTCCTGAGCCTCCCCTAGGTTGACTCAGCCTCAATTGAGTGCCTGGTGCAATGTGTGAGCATCGTCCCTAGGGAGACAAAGGCGGCCGGGCGTGGTGTTGGCTACCCACCTCCTCGTGTGCCGTGCCGGCCTTCATAGGTGCTCGCTAACAGCACTTGCCTCAACAGTCTGTTCAGGCTAGACGGGGAATCTTTGTCTTTGTTGTGTATATCTGGGTGTGTATGGTGGACAGTGTCCGGCAAAAACAAGCGCCTACCTCCTCGTTGGTGTCAGACGGTAACGCTGTGCTGGGTGCGAGCAATTCCATGGGAGGAATGGCCAATTCCATTCGGCCTTCCCCCTCATGGTGCTTGTAGCCACGACAGTGGCCAGTGAGGGCTCTGGACAGGTGCAAGGGGCTGTTAACCCCTCCACCTTCAACCTAACTACCACCAAAACACGTGTTAAAAATCTAACTGAGCTTGTGCCAGAGGGCCCGGGGGGACGGACGGGTGTCTCCTGGACAAACCCCATTTGGCAGAGCCAGGAGACTGAATCCTTACTCTCGGAGTTCCTCCAGAAACAACAAAAAGCCATTGCGGGTGGCCACGTGGAATGTTTGAACGCTCACTGCGGAGGAGAGGCTGCCAATCCTCTGCCGGGAGCTGGACCATTACCGCCTGGATCTCTGCGGTATTCAGGAGGTCTGGTGGACTGGCTCTGGCTCCTGCCACCATGAGGGGTGGACTGTCCTCTACTAAGGGCAGGAGACTGCCAAACAACAAGGAATGAAGGGGGTGTGGGAGCATGGCAGTGAAGTGTGGGAAGCTGTAAGCCCCAGGCTACTTTGGGCTCGCCTTCTCATCATCCAGAGGCGAGAAGTGGTGGTCGTGGTTACTTAGGCCTCCACCGAAGATGAACATCAGTGGAGGGATGCAGGCAAGGCCGATAAGTCAGATGCCTTCTATGACCTGTCACAGGCGCTAGCTAAAGTGGCATCTCAGGGTTGCGCTCTGGCTCCCACATTGCGAAGCTGATTGATGCCCATGGTGCGGTCAAGGGATGGCTCCCTATTGATCAACCACGTTATGTATGCTGATGATCTGGTGATTGCTGCTCACTCAGAGTAGGAGTTGGAGGTGTTGCTGCTGAACCTGGACTATGCCACTAACAGGTGGAGCCTTACCATCAGCCCCACCAAAACTAAGTACCTGCCTGGGTATGTTATGCAATCAGACCACCCCCACAACTCCCAATTAGTGATGGGGCAGTTGTAGAGAGTTTTCCATACCTGGGCAGTGTGCTCATGACCAGCTCCAGTTTGTCAGCAGAGGTCTCACTACGAATCAGTCGAGTGGCATGATCTTTTCATCGGCTGGGTAAGCGTTCCAGACGGCCGCAGAAGCGCTTCTGAAAGCGCCGCGTGACGATGCGGTGACCACCGTCTTTGTTCGACGGCCAGCCAAAACCCGCTGCTGCTCCGAAGATGACTGGAGGTTGCGCGATGATGGTTTATGTTACTTTGCTGCTGCCCCCGGTGATGATGTGAGTGCGTCATCGCGCGTGTGTGCTTGTGCATGATGCCATCACCGCTGGAGGCAACCGGAGGCAGGCTGATGATGCTCATGTCAATGCTGATGGTTCTGATGGTGCTCAAACTGGTGTGCAAGTGATGATGATGATGGTGCTGGTTGTGATGATGATGGCACTGCTGGTGGTGCCGGTAATATTGGTTGGTGCTGCTGATAATAGCGCTCCTGGTTGTGGTAATGATGATGATGATACTGATGGTGATGATGGTGCTGATAATGCCGCTACCATGGTGGTTGATGCTGGCACTACCGACGGTGTTGCTGTTTATTGTTCTTGTTGCTATCTGTAGCTATTCTACCTGTTTACCCGAAAAGCCTCACCGAGTTTCAATGGTTGTTCTGCGGAAAATCCTGCTACAACTTAAGCTATAGAAACGTGAAACCGATGAAGTAAAATAACCATCGTACTAACGGTAGGGTGACCATCGTACTAACGGTAGGGTGACCATCGTACTAACAGTCGGGTAACCATCGTACTAATGGTAGGGTAACCATCGTACTAACGGTAGGGTGGCCATCGTACTAACAGTCGGGTAACCATCGTGCTAATGGTAGGGTGACCATAGTACTAACGGTAGGGTGACCATCGTACTAACGGTAGGGTGATCATCGTACTAACGGCAGGGTGACCATCGTACTAACGGTAGGGTGACCATCGTACTAACGGTAGGGTGACCATCGTACTAACGGTAGGGTGACCATCGTACTAACGGTAGGGTGACCATCGTACTAACGGTAGGGTGACCATCGTACTAACGGTAGGGTGACCATCGTACTAACGGTAGGGTGACCATCGTACTAATGGTAGGGTGACCATCGTACTAACGGCAGGGTGACCATCGTACTGACGGTAGGGTGACCATCGTATTGACGGTAGGGTGACCATCGTACTGACGGTAGGGTGACCATCGTACTAACGGTAGGGTGACCATCGTACTAACGGTAGGGTGACCATCGTACTAACGGCAGGGTGACCATCGTACTGACGGTAGGGTGACCATCGTACTGACGGTAGGGTGACCATCGTACTAACGGTAGGGTGACCATCGTACTAACGGTAGGGTGACCATCGTACTAACGGTAGGGTGACCATCGTACTAACGGTAGGGTGACCATCGTACTAACGGTAGGGTGACCATCGTACTAACGGTAGGGTGACCATCGTACTAACGGTAGGGTGACCATCGTACTAACGGTAGGGTGACCATCGTACTAACGGTAGGGTGACCATCGTACTAACGGTAGGGTGACCATCGTACTAACGGTAGGGTGACCATCGTACTAACGGTAGGGTGACCATCGTACTAACGGTAGGGTGACCATCGTACTAACGGTAGGGTGACCATCGTACTAACGGTAGGGTGACCATCGTACTAACGGCAGGGTGACCATCGTACTGACGGTAGGGTGACCATCGTACTGACGGTAGGGTGACCATCGTACTGACGGTAGGGTGACCATCGTACTGACGGTAGGGTGACCATCGTACTAACGGTAGGGTGACCATCGTACTAACGGTAGGGTGACCATCGTACTGACGGTAGGGTGACCATCGTACTGACGGCAGGGTGACCATCGTACTGACGGCAGGGTGACCATCGTACTGACGGTAGGGTGACCATCGTACTGACGGCAGGGTGACCATCGTACTAACGGTAGGGTGACCATCGTACTAATGGTAGGGTGACCATCGTACTAACGGCAGGGTGACCATCGTACTAACGGTAGGGTGACCATCGTACTAATGGTAGGGTGACCATCGTACTAACGGTAGGGTGGCTCTACTCGCGTGTAAACAGGTTTAAAATTTAATTGCAAGCGAGTAAAACTTGCAGTTGAGTTACCGAGGACATTCTTTTAACTGCAAATTTCCTGCTCTTTGGGGGATTAATAGAGAATGGATGAGAACGAGTGATGGTGACGATGTGACGACGATGATGGGGATAATGGTGACAATGATGGTGAAGGTGATAATGATGCTGACGATGATGAGTGGTTACGATAGTAAGTCCTGTATACAACAGTTCAGGGATAGTGATGACGATGGTGATGGTGACGATGACGATGGTGATGGTGACGACGATGTTCAGGAACTGCTGCGGCTGGATGAGCAGCTTGGCGTCCGAGCGCATTGCCTCAGCGCTGCAGACATACACCGGCTGCCCACCCAGGTCTTCTCGGCCGACCTGCGCAAGCCAAACTCCCAGTACGTTTTACCGTCATGATCATCGTCATCATCATCGTTCAACATTCACACCTTCGCAACTCCGATTAGCACGGTTGGGTAGGTACGGTGTGTGAAATTACTCTGTGGGTCTTTTGGCAAAGTCACGTAGAAAGAAAAGAAAATAAATTTCGATTTAAAGCTTTCGTGACTGCAAGGATTCATCTTCATCACGTAGAATGAGAATAAAATAATAAATTAATCAAATAAAATTTAAGCTCTGTCGTCCCGACAGTTCTGTTCCTTTCACCTGAAGAAGGCCACTTGTGTTGTGGCCGAAACGTCGTGAGAATTTTATTGTGGTGTTTTATTAATTTATTATTTTATTGTTATTCTACGTGACTTTACCGAAAGACCCAAAGAAGAGAAAATAAATTAAATAATAGAACACGACGTTTCAATTGCAACACAAGAAATCGTCGTCAGGTATAAAACAAACCTAGTAAAATTAGAAATACGTTCTTCCAAAGATTGTTAAATTTGAGAGAGAGACAAAACACACACAGACACACACAGATACACAGACAACAACCGCCATTCACCACTAAGTGGCGGTGACGTCACCACGACGCTTGTGCCAGGCTATGTGCACCCCGAGGCCACGTGGAGTGTCGAACGCCCGCTGGCAGGAGGTCACGGGGCAGACCCAGGTGCCACGGGTCGACTGACTGAGATGACTGGCTGATGCACCACCTGTGCCCCCTACTGTGCCAACCCGCTGTGCTTCAGCCACTCGGCGCTCCGCTCGTTGTTGTGAGCGTTGCTCCTCCGCCCTCCGTTGTTGTTGGAGGGCGACTGCCTCCAACTGCCCAGTAGCGTCCTTCACGAGCCTCCTCCACAGAGGTCGATCTTGACACCACTGGTACCAGTCATCGGCAAGTCCACTCAGCTCCACGTCCTCCTGTACCACGTCACTCCATCTCCTCTCTAGCCCGTGCCGCGCCCGTTTAGCCCCCTCAATCCGGCCGAACAAAAGCTGTTTCGGCATGTGGCTGGGCATGCGGGCTACATGACCCAACCATCGCAGCCTTGCCCGCCGAGGAGCTCACCAATGAGAGAGACACACACATAGACACACACAGTCACAGCGCCTCTGTGTCGAGGCCTTAAATAGAGAGAGAAGGGTGGGGCTGAGAGAGAGGTGGGGTTGTTGGTGCAGATAAATTAGCATGTCCATGAAAGAGCTGTGTGGAAATCCACGTCACGGTGGCTGGGGGAGAGAAAGACCCATACAAATCTGGAAAATTTTATAGAGAGTTGTGTGGAAATCCACTCTGACCGAGGGGGGGAGAAAGAGCAAATGGACCAATGCAAGCCTGGTAGAAATAGGAAGTTTGAGAAAACGGAACTTAGCAAAAATTTAGGAAATGTAATGCAATGCAACACAGAGGAGTCGGTTAACACACAGTCAACGCATAGCCTGGCTGATTACGTTCTTCCAAAGATTGCTAAATTAGAAGAATAGTCTTGATTTGAAGCTTTCGTGCCTCTCTTAGATCTCTCATGCTCACATGCCCGTTGCATTGCACTCACATGCCTTTGGATTACACTCTCATGCTCACAGGCCCTTTGGATTACACTCTCATGCTCACAGGCCCTTTGGATTACACTCTCATGCTCACAGGCCCTTTGGATTACACTCTCATACTCACAGGCCCTTTGGATTACACTCTCATACTCACAGGCCCTTTGGATTACACTCTCATACTCACAGGCCATTTGGATTACACTCGGTGGGTTGCACTCCCTCGTCGAGGAGGCCGCTCTTCTTCTCCTTGTCTACAGTTGCATGCTAATCTCTCACGTTAACATCACGCTACATCCCTCACATTAACATAGCCACTTCCGTGCCCTCTAATTTCCCACATTAACATCACGCTTTCCCACCTGATGATGGACGCTTAGTGTTGCCCCCGAAACGTCGTGATTTATTTTATACCTACTCCGTGACGTTACCGAAAGAACCAAAGAGTTTAGAAGCTAGGTGTGAAATTTGACAATCAAAATTTTGCTAAGTTCCTTTTCTCAAACTTCCTATTTTTACCTCCGTGTCTGTGTTTTGTCTCTCAAATTTAGCAATCTTTGGAAGAACGTAATCAACCAGGTCAGGTGTTGGCTGTTGTGTTAGCCGACTCTGGTTGTATTGCATTGTAATTCTAAGTTAGGTTTGTTTTCTACCTGATGACGATTGCTTGTGTTGCAATCGAAACGTCGTATATTCTATTATTTAATTTATTTTCTATCTACATCACTTTACCGAAAGAACCAGAGTAATTCCAGCAGTCACGAAAGCTTCAAATCAAGTTTGTGTGAAAGAAGTTGAACGTGTATACATAGACTCGCACAGAGACCCATAGACTCGCACAGAGACCCATAGACTCGCACAGAGACCCATAGACTCGCACAGAGACCCATAGACTCACACGGAGACCAAACGACTCGCACAGGGACCCATAGACTCGCACAGAGACACATACAGCCACACAGGAGACCCATACTCACACAGAGAACCGTAGACATAGAAACCCATAGACTCACACAGAGACCCATGGACTCTGGCAGTGACCACCATGGGTAGTGTCCACCACGGGCAGTGTCCACCACGGGCAGTGTCCCTCCGTTAGCCGCTTTTGTTTCTCATAATTAGATTATAATACAATTAAAAACTTTACTTACATCATGGGACCTCCTTTGCCAGTACCGAAATATGAGAATAGGTTTTCCCCTTTTTTATGGCAATGAAACAGCTGTGTTAACATTTTAAAAACACCAAACTGAAACCTTTTACGAGGAATCATGTCTGCATTAACCACAATGCTTGTAGTCAGAATGCAAACTGAGTGCAAACTGATTGGTCCACACCAGAGACGGCTTTCTTTTGAGGCTCGTCTCAAAACGGTGTTAGACCAGAGGACGCCAAAAGGCGACCCTGACGCCTCTTGTATATTTGGAGTTTGCGTCTCTCTCTCCCTGTGGTCGAGTGGATTTTTATCCAGGTGCTCCAGTGTTTCCCCTCCACATTTAGAATCGACGTCACGCGTTTTAGGGCATTCGGGCTGCTGCTGCTGCTATTATTTCCCACGTGATGGTGATGATGATAATCCCATTCATTGAGCTATCGTTTGCGATGGTCAGGGTCGCTTCTGATAAAGAGCCACTACATGGCAGAGTGGGGCCCTTACACCTGATGGCTTTTTTTAGTTTTAAATGATGAGACACCTAAAATTATCGCTTGAAATAAGGAAGAAGAAAACAACCTGTCCCGTAAAGTAAGCGGCTCATTGAAGTAATTCACTAAAGTTGTATCGACACCTTTTGTGTTATAGCTCAGAGTGGGCCTTACCTGGGAAAAATACAAAATTAGTTTCACCACCATCCACTGCCCCCACCAATGCCCCCCAACCTTTAACCCCCCCCACCACTCTGCAGGTGCAGCATCTGCACGGAGGCATACGAGGAGGGGGAGGTGATGCGGACCTTGCCCTGCTTGCACGCCTTCCACGCTGCCTGCATCGACAGGTGGCTACAGGTGAGCGTGGTGGGTGATGGTGGGTGATGGTGGTGGGGGTAGTGAATGGTGGTGGTAGGTGGTGGTGATGGTAGGTGGTGAGCCAATCAGGTGGGATGGCCAGAGGAGGGGAGGGGGGAGGTTAATGTGTGCATATAAATTACAATGGATACCCATTACCGGTTCGATTATTCATATGGTAATCAGCGGACATTATGCATGCTCACCGTGCCTTGACACCCTGCCGTTGTGTGGATGCTCGAAATCGCACTACCTGTTGTTGTCCGCTCACAGTTCATCGCCATCGGCGTATGGTCGCGACGGCCTACGTGTTAAAGCAAATATCCTTTTAAATCGGGCCGTTGCTATATTTGAATGGCGCGCATCATTGTCAGCGTTGCAAGTAAATAAAAATACTGATGATGATGATGATGACGACGTGTGTTACTGTGACCGGCAAAATATGCGCACGTAAGGGTTTTGAGGTTGGGTAGCATGCTCGCTTGCGCTCGCCTTCCGCAAACCGCTTCCCTTTTATAATAGAAGTTTGCTTTGGCGTTAGATCGCGTAAATATAAATGTGCCGTTAAACCCGCCACCACCCGACAGTCCGTTTAGCAAGTTTTGTCACGTAAACAGAACATGCCAATCCGTTGAGAGTACAGCACACCGTGTTGTGTATTGGAGAGCAAATCCGCAGCATTTACAATCTGAGTATGACGTTTTGCCAGTAATTACAACTATTCTTTGGGTCTTTCGGTAAAGCCACGTAGATAGGTTCAATGAAAATAACAAAAGACTGCGACGTTTCGATGGCAACTTCAAGCGGCCGTCATCAGGCTGAATGGAGAGAGGGAAGCTGCTGCGTGGCGGGCTGTTTTAAAGGTTTGAAATGGGTGTAGCCCAAGGGTCATGAACGAAGTGGGCGGGGCTAGTTATGTTAATGTGAGAGAAATTAGCATGTTGATGTAAGATCGCAGAGCCACAGCCACGTCGACGCACGAGGTGGCTGAGACGTTTCACCTGTTAATGTAAAATCAGAGAGCCGCAAGTAACAACTAACATCGGAAGGTAGGATGGAAACATCACAGGCAGTTATGACTTGAACTGGTTAATAACGTCCTTCCAATGATTGCTCAGTTTGTACCCATCTTGTCGGTTGAAGTTGTGTCAATAAATATGGATGGCTTCGTGAACAAATTTGGTTGATAGCCAGTGGATTTGCAAAGTACCTTCGTCTTGGAGAAATCAATTTCGTGTCCCAGTTCACTGGCGAGGTGATGATGGTCGGAAATACATTGAGCTTTATGGTGTCGAGTTTTGATGAGGGAATTCCTATGAGGGAATTCATCAAATTCACCATGGAGGTGGAAAAGGATGGCAAGTTACCATTCTTGGATGTTTTAATCGAAAAGAGACCAGATGGCTCAATGGGACACTTTGTCTACAGGAAAGCCACCCATATGGATGCCTACCTAAAACTTGACTCCCACCACCATCCATCCCAGAACTCAAGTAGTGAAACTCAAGTAGTGAAACTCGGGTCGTGAAACTCAGGTAGTGAAACTCAGGTAGTGAAACTCGGGTCGTGAAAGTCGGGTCGAGAAACTCGGGTCGTGAAAGTCGGGTCGTGAAACTCGGGTCGTGAAACTCCGGTCGTGAAACTCGGGTCGTGAAACTCGGGTCGAGAAACTCAGGTCGTGAAAGTCGGGTCGTGAAACTCGGGTCGTGAAAGTCGGGTCGTGAAACTCGGGTCGAGAAACTCAGGTCGTGAAACTCGGGTCGAGAAACTCGGGTCGTGAAAGTCGGGTCGTGAAACTCCGGTCGTGAAACTCGGGTCGTGAAACTCGGGTTTGTACCCATCTCGGGTCGAGAAACTCGGGTCGTGAAACTCGGGTTGTGAAACTCCGGTCGTGAAACTCGGGTCGTGAAAGTCGGGTCGAGAAACTCGGGTCGTGAAACTCGGGGCGAGAAACTCGGGTCGCGAAACTCGGGTCGTGAAACTCGGGGCGAGAAACTCGGGTCGCGAAACTCGGGTCGTGAAACTCGGGTCGAAGCTCGGGTCGTGAAAGTCGGGTCGAGAAAGTCGGGTCGTGAAACTCGGGTCGTGAAAGTCGGGTCGTGAAACTCGGGTCGTGAAACTCGGGTCGTGAAAGTCGGGTCGTGAAACTCGGGTCATGAAACTCGGGTCGTGAAACTTGGGTCGTGAAAGTCGGGTCGTGAAAGTCGGGTCGTGAAAGTCGGGTCGTGAAACTCGGGTCGTGAAACTCGGGTCGTGAAACTCGGGTCGAGAAAGTCGGGTCGAGAAACTCGGGTCGTGAAACTCGGGTCGTGAAACTCGGGTCGTGAAACTCCGGTCGTGAAACTCGGGTCGTGAAACTCGGGTCGAGAAACTCAGGTCGTGAAAGTCGGGTCGAGAAACTCGGGTCGTGAAAGTTTTGATGAGGGAATTCCTATGAGGGAATTCATCAAATTCACCATGGAGGTGGAAAAGGATGGCAAGTTACCATTCTTGGATGTTTTAATCGAAAAGAGACCAGATGGCTCAATGGGACACTTTGTCTACAGGAAAGCCACCCATATGGATGCCTACCTAAAACTTGACTCCCACCACCATCCATCCCAGAACTCAAGTAGTGAAACTCAAGTAGTGAAACTCGGGTCGTGAAACTCAGGTAGTGAAACTCAGGTAGTGAAACTCGGGTCGTGAAAGTCGGGTCGAGAAACTCGGGTCGTGAAAGTCGGGTCGTGAAACTCGGGTCGTGAAACTCCGGTCGTGAAACTCGGGTCGTGAAACTCGGGTCGAGAAACTCAGGTCGTGAAAGTCGGGTCGAGAAACTCGGGTCGTGAAACTCGGGTCGTGAAACTCGGGTCGTGAAACTCCGGTCGTGAAACTCGGGTCGTGAAACTCGGGTTTGTACCCATCTCGGGTCGAGAAACTCGGGTCGTGAAACTCGGGTTGTGAAACTCCGGTCGTGAAACTCGGGTCGTGAAAGTCGGGTCGAGAAACTCGGGTCGTGAAACTCGGGGCGAGAAACTCGGGTCGCGAAACTCGGGTCGTGAAACTCGGGGCGAGAAACTCGGGTCGCGAAACTCGGGTCGTGAAACTCGGGTCGAAACTCGGGTCGTGAAAGTCGGGTCGAGAAAGTCTGGTCGTGAAACTCGGGTCATGAAAGTCGGGTCGTGAAACTCGGGTCGTGAAAGTCGGGTCGAGAAAGTCGGGTCGTGAAACTCGGGTCGTGAAAGTCGGGTCGTGAAACTCGGGTCGTGAAAGTTGGGTCGTGAAACTCGGGTCGTGAAACTCGGGTCGTGAAAGTCGGGTCGTGAAACTCGGGTCGTGAAACTCGGGTCGTGAAACTCGGGTCGTGAAACTCGGGTCGTGAAAGTCGGGTCGTGAAACTCGGGTCGTGAAACTCGGGTCGTGAAAGTCGGGTCGTGAAACTCGGGTCGTGAAACTCGGGTCGAGAAACTCGGGTCGTGAAACTCGGGTCGTGAAACTCGGATCGTGAAACTCGGGTCGAGAAAGTCGGGTCGAGAAAGTCGGGTCGTCCCAGGCCGCTTTGGGGGGGAGGAAGGGGTGCAGGATTTTGAAAAACGGAGGATAATCACTACATCATCAATATTTTTCATAGCTTATTTTTGCACATTCTTGTATAACGTTATCTATTTAGGTGTTGATATTCTTGGTTCTTTCGGTAAAGTCACGTAGAAGGGAAACAATAAAATAATAAAAATATAAAACAATAAAATTCTCACGACATTTCGACTGCAACACAAGCAATCATCAGGTGTGGTTTTCACATCAATATTTAGGTGTTGTCTATTTGTTTATTTTTATTGTTTGTTAAGTTATTTTCTGTGTGAAATTGGCATAAATAAACATGCAAATAAGACAACTACAAAAATATCCTACCATAAAAAAGTTACTTTATTTTGCTGTACTGTAATTTACCACTCGCATCTCAAAGACTGCATCACAGGGTGATATACCTACTACTACTAGATATACAACTACTAGATGTACCTACTACTACTAGATGTACCTACTACTACTATATGTACCTACTACTATATGTACCTACTACTATATGTACCTACTACTATATGTACCTACTACTATATGTACCTACTACTATATGTACCTACTACTACTAGATGTACCTAGTACTACTACTAGATGTACCTAGTACTAATACTAGATGTACCTAGTACTACTAGATGTACCTACTACTACTAGATGTGCCTACTACTACTAGATGTACCTGCTACTACTACTAGATGTACCTGCTACTACTAGATGTACTACTACTAGATGTACCTACTACTACTAGATGTACCTAGTACTAATACTAGATGTACCTACTACTACTAGATGTACTACTACTACTACTAGATGTACTACTACTAGATATACTACTACTAGATGTACCTACTACTAGATGTACCTACTACTACTAGATGTACCTACTACTAGATGTACCTACTACTAGATGTACTACTACTAGATGTACCTACTACTAGATGTACTACTACTACTAGATGTACCTACTAGTACTACTAGATGTACCTAGTACTACTAGATGTACCTACTAGTACTACTAGATGTACCTACTACTACTAGATGTACCTACTAGTACTACTAGATGTACTACTACTGGATGTACCTACTACTACTAGATGTACTACTACTACTAGATGTACCTAGTACTACTACTAGATGTAACTAATACTACTACTAGATGTACCTGCTACTAGTACTATTAGATGTACCTAGTACTGCTACTATAACTACTCCGCTCTTGCTTTAACCACTTGATGTGTTTGACGATCGCCGGACTGATGCGACCGACGAATCACACAACGCGACTTGCCACCGGATCACACCGCGGATACTTTCCGCGTTTTATTAACTCTCGTTATGAAGTAATGAAAAAACAATGTTTATATATACACACGTGTAGAATTGTCATTGTTTATGTTGTGTGTAGTCCATGATGTACCGTACAAATACAATATTTTAACACTGAACTGAAACCTAGCTGCTTTGTTTTTGTCACGTACACATGGTGGTGGTGCCGATAGCCTTTGGAGTGGCTTGCCGGTTTCTCTGGATTGGCCCCGTGAACACGCCAAGATAATGGAAGATCGACTGCATATTGTCCCTGGGCAGAGTGTGGGCTTAAAACTCCGCCATGAGTTCCCTACTCCTCCCACCTCGTCCAGCACTCTCCCCTTCTCTCACACTGCTACATTAATTCTCTCTCTCCAACTCTCTCCTTCTCTCTTACAGCAAAGCGCCATATGCCCGGTGTGTCGCACAAACATCATCTTGGAATGACGGAGGCGAAGAGGACGAGGAAGAGGAGGTGGAGGTCTTCGGGGGGCTGAGAAGTTTTTTCAAGAGCCAAAGAGTCGTGTTTAACGTGCAGTCGGCACGCTTTTCACGACCGATATTATCCACGACAGAGGTTGGTTTCTTTTGGTGGGGGTGGGGGGGGCGTTATTAACGTCACCGGCTGGTCGGGTTGTAAACGACCGACCGGTTGGTGCTGAACGAGTAACGAATTGGCCATGCGCTGTGCTACGTGACACCCCCTCGCCGATTGGCTACGTGACAAACCCCCTCGCCGATTGGCCACTTGTCGGGTGGTGCTGGTGGTGGCAGCGGTTACCGATACGACATTGATATCGGTGCCATCTGCCACCCAAAACGAAACCATTATTTGGGAGCACAGTTGTACTCCCGCCCCCAAGTCTCCCCACCACCCCCCCCCCCCCAAATTCCAGGATATTATTTGTACGCCACGGTGCAACGATCTGCCACGGCGTTCATTTTCTTGAGACTTTTACGGTTCAAATTTCGATTGAAAGCTTTCGTGACTGCAAGGATTCATCTTCTTTGGTTCTTTCGGTAAAGTCACGTAGAATGAGAATAAAATAATAAATTAATAAAATAAAATAACACAATAAAATTCTCACGACGTTTCGGCCACAACACAAGTGGCCTTCTTCAGGTGAAAGGAACAGACCTGTCGGGACGACAGAGCTTCAATGAACGTTGTTAAGATTCGTAGCGACTTTTAAGCTGGTTTAGAGAGGTGAGGCACCTTGACAAAGGGGTTTACATATAAAACAGGAGAATTTAGCATTGAAATAGCTGAGTGATTAGCTTGTGACTGATCATAGAAATAGCTATGTTAAAGTCAAAGCCTATGTGGATGTGTAGGCTTTGACTTTAACATAGCCATTTCTGTGACCAGTCACAAGCTAATCACTCAGCTATTTCAATGCTAAATTATCCTGTTTGATTTGTACTAGGTGCCTCTGTGGATGTGTAGGCTTTGACTTTAACAACGCCATTTCTGTGACCAGTCACAAGCTAATCACTCAGCTATTTCAATGCTAAATTCTCCTGTTTTATATGTAAACCCCTTTGTCAAGGTGCCTCACCTCTCTAAACCAGCTTAAAAGACGCTACGAATCTTAACAACGTTCATTGAAGCTCTGTCGTCCCGACAGGTCTGTTCCTTTCACCTGAAGAAGGCCACTTGTGTTGTGGCCGAAACGTCGTGAGAATTTTATTGTGTTATTTTATTAATTTATTATTTTATTCTCATTCTACGTGACTTTACCGAAAGAACCAAAGAAGACTTTTACGGTTCGCGTCGTTTTTTGGATTTTAACGTTCTCATTGTAGACCAACCCTCTCGCGTACCCCCCCGGTACGAACGAGGAACTCCACTCACTCAACGTTCATTTGGTGGCTCAACGCGAGGCCGCTGCCAAGTTGCATAACCGTTGCAATCATGCCATGCGTCACACACGTGCTTGCGCGTGTGTGATGCGGGTGCCCGCGTGTGATGCAGGTGCGTGTATGTGTGACGCAGGTGCATGTGTGTGTGACGCGGGTGCTCGTGTGTGACGCAGGTGCGTGTGTGTGTGTGACGCGGGTGCATGTGTGTGTGACGCGGGTGCTCGCGTGTGACGCAGGTGCGTGTATGTGTGACGCAGGTGCGTGTATGTGTGACGCAGGTGCATGTGTGTGTGACGCGGGTGCCCGCGTGTGACGCAGGTGCGTGTGTGTGTGTGACGCGGGTGCGTGTGTGTGTGACGCGGGTGCCCGCGTGTGACGCAGGTGCATGTGTGTGTGATGCGGGTGCTCGTGTGTGACGCAGGTGTGTGTGTGTGTGACGCGGGTGCATGTGTGTGTGACGCAGGTGCGTGTGTGTGACGCAGGTGCATGTGTGTGTGACGCAGGTGCGTGTGTGTGTGACGCAGGTGCGTGTGTGTGTGACGCAGGTGCGTGTATGTGTGACGCAGGTGCATGTGTGTGTGACGCAGGTGCGTGTGTGTGACGCGGGTGCTCGCGTGTGACGCAGGTGCGTGTGTGTGTCTTTGTTATCACGTGTGTGAGACAAAGGTGCGTACGTGTGACAGTTTGATTTCTTTTTTATGAATAAATTGTTGCTCGTTGTTTTCCATTCTTGCCTCAGAGAATACTATTCTTCCACGGTCTGTTCAACTCCTCTACTTACGAACGTTCGACTAACGAACTTTTAGAGATGCGAACAAACCTGTCCGTATGTCCAGTTGCAGCTGTTCGGACCAAGAGTCGTTAGTTAAACCGCCGCATAATATATGGCGGTGGTGGAACCTACATCTGCAGAACGTGAAGAACCAGTGGCATCTACAGCTACAGAATGTGAAGAACCAGTGGCATCTACATCTGCAGAACATGAAGAACCAGTGGCATCTACATCTGCAGAACATGAAGAACCAATGGCATCTACATCTACAGAACGTGAAGAACCAGTGGCATCTACATCTTCAGAACGTGAAGAACCAGCGGCATCTACATCTACAGAACGTGAAGAACCAGTGGCATCTACATCTTCAGAACGTGAAGAACCAGTGGCATCTACATCTTCAGAACGTGAAGAACCAGTGGCATCTACAGCTACAGAATGTGAAGAACCAGTGGCATCTACATCTTCAGAACGTGAAGAACCAGTGGCATCTACATCTGCAGAACATGAAGAACCAGTGGCATCTACATCTGCAGAACATGAAGAACCAGTGGCATCTAGATCTGCAGAACATGAAGAACCAGTGGCATCTACATCTGCAGAATGTGAAGAACCAGTGGCATCTACAGCTACAGAATGTGAAGAACCAGTGGCATCTACATCTGCAGAACGTGAAGAACCAGTGGCATCTACATCTGCAGAACATGATGAACCAGTGGCATCTACATCTGCAGAACGTGAAGAACCAGTGGCATCTACATCTGCAGATGTAGATGTAGATGCTACCTTGGAGTAAACTTGTCAATGTCACAACGGATATATGACGCGCGCGCATATTGAAATATAACCGGTCGCCCCTGCCAGCGTGTGTACGTGCGAGAACCGCGGTATTAACGGCGAGACGCGCGTGTGTATCGCGCAGAGAAAATCAGTGGGTGGGTATCGCGCGAGCGGTGGCTGCCGTCGTGTTAATCAGCCACCACCCGTGGCCGTTCGCCGTGTTGTGACACATTGACGCAACGTCTTCGCCTCCAACCCGCGGGAAGAGCTCGGACCCACACACACGTGCATTGCGCAATCAGCGCGGGCAGGTGGAACGCCGCGAGTGCGGACGTGCGTGTTGTGGAGTGAAGAGTTGCCCATAGGGGCGCACGCGTAGTAGTAATGTCAGGGCGGTGGTGAACCAGCCGTGAGACGTCTCTCCAAGAGGGCGCTAGTGTGGGGGGGGGGGGGGGCGGCGAGAAGCTCCCGCGGGGAGGGGGGGGGTTGGGCATCAGCCCCCACAACTACACGACTATACACGATGTTACTCTACTACACTGAGAACTCATTTCTTTAGAACTGCTTTTTGTGTTTAGTTTGATGTCCATCCCCCGCACCTCCAATTAGCATGGCCGGCTACGCACGGTACAAAAGAAGTTCAAGACGCATACATCGGCCAGAGGCACAGAAAGTGTATTTTCCACTCGACCATTCTGTGACCTCTGTGTGTTCTGAAGAAGAGCCATTGCGCGTAACATTTGTACGTGCACGTATGTTGAACATCTTTCGCACCATACGTAGCCTACCGTGCTAATCGGAGGTGCGGGGGGAAGGACAACAAACTAAATATAAAAAGCAGTTCTAAAGAAATGAGTTTGTCAATCGAGATGATGATTTAAAAGTGCTGAGCTCCCAGTGGCTTCCTAATGTCAGAAGAGCGTTCCAGACGGCCGCAGAAGCGCATCTGAAAGTGCCGTATGATGATGCGGTGACCACCGTCTTTGGATTCGATCACGACCCTGACACCTGCTGCTCTATATTTGGAGTTTGCGCCTCTCATCAGCATCACGTTGGCTAGGAGACGTTAACTACCTCGCCTGGTATACAGGGGGTCGCAAGTTGAATCCCGAACCTGACACCTGTATATTTGGATTTTGCATGTCTCCCCGTGGTCGTGCGGATTTGTCTCCAGATACTCCGGTTTTTCCCTCCACATTTAGAAACATTTTTAGAGAATTTGGCTGCTATAAATCTCCACGTAAATATGACCAAGTCGCTTCTAAAAAGGGGCTACACGGCTCAGTCGGTGCCTTACCTGGTAAAAATAAAACCGTGTAGTTTGTTCGATGGCTAGCCAAAAGCCGCTGCTGCGAGGTAGTTTCATAGTTTCATTTATTTGGTATAGCCCTGTGAGCCATTCGGCTCTTGAATCGTGTGCAACCGCAACAAACAAAAACACGAACAAGAAAAACATCTTAAAGTGACTATGTGACTGTGCAAACAGAAAATCCAGGAAAAAACATCAAAATATTCCTGAAATAACACCGTACACCAACGCTGTGTGCAAAAATCCCAGTGGGATGCAAGTCAACAACAACAACCACAAGAAAACTTAGATTAAGGCCATCAGTCTAACTCCGTACTACAATAAACAAAAACATGGCCAAACCAAAAAACTTTTAGAAATCATCAAAATAAAGCCATAAATGCAATGTAACAGTGGTCATAGGAACTGTGACCGAATTTTTTACAATAAACTACATAAATAACATGTAACACCAAACCCTAGAGCCACAGCTGGCTGCATGAGTCACTCCACAAACAACAGGAGCATCAGTCGGAGTATCACATTTTTCAATGCACCTTTAAGATCAGCACACTAAATCAAAATACAGATAATACTTTGCAGCGGTCATCCGGAGCGAAACTTTATTTTATTTTAGGCCACTGAATAGCAGTGGCAGCTAGGGGTGTACAACTCCTCTAGAGCAGTTTTGAGTGAAGATCTCATAGGTAGTGATTCAAGTTGCAGTTTATTGGCAATAGCATTCCAGACCCTGGGGGCATCAATAGCAAAGGCCCTTCCTCCGGTTTTTGTATGGCAATAGGGAATGTGAAGCTGGTAGATGAGCGAAGACCTGAGGTCAAATTTGTTCTTTGAAACAGAGGAGATCCAGTAGGTAGTCTGCGGATTTTTTTGTAAGTACATCGTGAATAAATAAGATCTGGTGCACGAGCCGTCGAACATTAAGAGATGTTAAGTTTGACCCAATGTAGAGATCACAGTGGTGAGTCCTATATGGGCAGTTCAATGCAAATCTTAAGGCCGAGTGATATATGGAATCAAGCTTCTTCAGTACAGTACTTGGGGCTGATTTATACACGATATTACAGTAATCAAGTAGAGGCAGTATGGTAGCTTTTATCAATTCCAAACGGAACATAGGGGGGAAGCAGTGCTTTTGTCGATACAGAAAACCAATTTTTGTCTTTTTACCAATATAATCAATGTGATATTCAAAATTCAGTTTTGAATCCAGGATTACCCCAAGATACTTATAGAACTTGACTTGCTCTATTTGATCATTATTTAAGGAATGTAGTTTGGGAAAAATAACTTCCTGCTTTTGTCCCGGTGAGAAGCATAGCACCTTGGTTTTGGAGGTATTTAGGAC